TTAAAAAAGTTTGAAATATCCAATAAATTTCGTTCCACTTCATGATTGTGTCCCACTTGTTGTTGATTCTTCACAAAAAATTACAGTTTTATATCTATGTTTGAAGCCTGAAATGTGGCAAAAGGTCACAAAGTTCAAGGGGGCCGAATACTTTCGCAAGGCACTGTATGTGCATGTTTGCTTACTTGACTTACACCCTGTTTCTCCGTGGGGATCAACAGCGTTGTCCAAGGTTTTGTGGATGTTTCTGTAATCTGCTCGGCCCACTGACCCCACTTAGCCCACCCAGCTTCACCAGAGCTGTTCTGGTGGCACGTGGTGGCCCAGCACCTCACTGGGACTCTCTGTGCTGTCCTTTAGTTTGTCACCCGTCTGTATTTCCTGTCAGTCAAGCCAAGTTTCACATCCTCACATTTGATAACCTGGCGTCTTTGCTTGACTAAGAGTAGTTGTGTGGTATATTTTCAGTGTGTCTTGTGTGTGTGTGTGTTCACAGAGGGAGATGCGTGGCAGCATCACCTTCAAAATAGTGCCAAGCTACCGGACGCAGGGCTCCTCGTATGAGGTAACACCTCCTCCCCTTCTCCCTCCCCTCTTTACTGCTGGTCTGATACTAACTGCCGGCCTGTTACTGAGCGTGTGTGTAACTCAAGATGATGTTTGTGGGGGGTTGCGGTGTGTGTTCTTTGACTGCAGTGTGTATTGCTGTGTTTTTCTGGGGCTGAGTCAGATGTTCAGCACACCAATTTTACAACCAAGATACCGGAACCACCCCGACCCCCCTCCCTCTGTGTCTCCCCCACAGTCACATGATCTGCTCCTGCCCACAGACTCACAAACATGCTGCAGGGTGGACGGAGCAACAGAAACGCCTTCCAGGGCAGAGTCTGCTGAGGCTCATCGTGCTTGGCTGTTGCATGACTGTGGTTTTAGTTGTAGTCATTTGATTTTGTTCATTTCAGGCAGATCAGTGGTCACCAACTGGTGGACTCCAGTCTGGATCCGGACCCAAAGACGTTTCTCTCCATACCACAAAGTGTTTTACATTAAAAGTAATAATAAGCTGTATTTTTTTGGAACAGTCGTGGCCAGTGTGAACACCAAGTTTCCAAATATGGGACCCATAAAGCATTACCCAAAGTTTTTAGCTGAAGTAAGACTAAAATACTTATAAACCACTAATCCAGAAGCTTTTATTCATTTATAATCATTTTTACTTCTACAGCAGTTTTCAAACAAAGAGTGTAGGAGCAGTGCAGCGGAGGAAAAGTCCAGAAACAGGTTCTAATATACCCCAGCAGAGGGAGGGAAGAACCAGTTATCACATCATAGCAAAGCTGAATGGACAGCGCTCTGAAGCCGAGGCAGCTGCTTGTCCTGGACTTTACAGGCGGACCCAGAGGCCTGTGCAGACAGGAGTCTGGCATCTGCTCGTGCACGACCTTGTATGTAATTAGATGATTTTAAAATGGATTGGAAAAAGAAAACGTCTAAAACGAGAGCGGCATGGTTCTTGTGGTCATCTTTATTTAGGCTAAAACTCTTTGACAGCTCAGCTACACAGAGCTTTTATTTTGAAAAATCATAGCCAGACCACAACCCTGCTTTGACTTCAGCCAAATTTAGTGCATGACAGTAAAAGAATTTATAAATATAACATAGAAATCATCAGAAGAGCTTTGAGTGGCCCATTTTTAAACCCCAGTGACTTTTGAAGCTCTTGTTGCTCACTTTGTTTTTATACTTGATGTTTGTGCAGGAACTCCGTGTTTCTACTTTTACTAGGTTTTCAGTTAAAACACAGTAGACGTGGTCATTCACTGCTGATTTCAGCCCACACAAGTGCTCAGTGTTGGTGATCACCAGGTGCTGGTGGTGTAGCGCCCCCCTGTGGTGATGTCAGGGTGTGTAGGACAGAGGGGTGCTGCTGATGTTGCCTCCCGTGTCTTGTTGACACATTTCACTATGTCAACACTGTGGTGGGTCTCTGTTGTTTTCTATTAATTTACTCTCTCCACCACCGACACTTGCCACCCAGAAGTGTGTGTGTGTGTGTGTGTGTGTGTGTGTTGGCTGTGCGCTGCTGACCTGTGTGTCTTATTTCAGAAAGAGTCCCCCACCACCTCCAGACAGTCCCCTGCCAATGGCCATTCCAGCATTAACAGTTCTATCTTGGTAAGGACCCCCGCCCCAGAAAGCCCCTGCTGGCAGATCCCCCGCCCCCAATGCGACTCGTGTCATGGTATTTACACGTCTGTGTCTGTCAGCTGACCCGTGCAGATGTCCATTCATCATGTGTTTGTGCTGTGACTGGTCTAGTAGGAGTAGACCCAGCAGTAGGCGGCTCATCCTCAGTCTGTCCCATGTCCCTGTTCATCTGTTTGAGCCAAAAACCCAGTGTCCGATATCTCAGTTAACAAATTGGTGTGCCTCATAAAGCTGCTGCGTGCTGTGCCTCCCTGCCGACACGATGCACTCGGCCTGCTGTGGTCACACTCTGCAGTACACTGAACCTAATCTGAGGCTCTGGACAGACACTGTGGTCGTGCTGATGCTGCAGCTGCTTCGCTTGCTCTGTGATTGCTGGGTTGCTCCAGATCTGCTTTAGCAGAAGAGAGTTACTCGCTGCTCTGTCCCACCTTCCCTCTGTTGATGTTTGTCTTGTTTGTGTTTGTTTGTTTGTTTTTGTAAGAGCAATAGCCAGACTGCAGAGGACTGTGCATGCATGCTTTAGGTTTGTTCTGTTCTCAGAGGTAGTGCTGCTTTCGTCAACGAAAATTATGACTAAATATCGTCGTCAACGAACCTTTATCACATGACGGAGACGAGACACAACGTAAATGCTGGTCATGTGACGATGACTATAATTAAATGTATAATGCAATATTGTTGACGAAAAACAAGACCAAATATGGTTTACAAAATAAAAACTATGCTAAAATCTCTCTTCATTTTCATTGACCAAAATGAGATGAAACAAAATGTTATAACATTATTTCGTCTTGTTTAGTCGCATTATTATTATTTTGCAGTATTTCTGTTTCCTGTGTCTCACATTTGGAAAAACTTTCATTACATAAAAGTGGAAAAGAAAACAATGTGTTGTGGAAAAAGATGGGGAGAAATGTGGCCACAAAATGTGTAGTGGATGTATTCTTGAGTCTATAAGGTAACAATAATATAATAAGATAACCTTGTCTGAAATGGGTTTGGCTAAAAGAAACTTTTGGTTTCGTCTGTACTACTAGGTACTTATACTATATTGACTGGGTTAAATAGCATTGCATTACTAAAAAGAGACAAATACAATTTTCGTCGACTAAAACTAGATGAAAATAGTCATGGATAATTCTGACTAAAATACGACTAAAATGCTCAGACTTTTAGTTGACTGAAACTTGACTAGACTAAAAAGAGTATGAACGTGACTAAAACTAATAAAAACTAAAATGACAGCTTCACACAAAGACTAGACTAAAACTAAAATTAAAACAGGCCGCCAAAAACAACTATACTCAGAGGGATCTCTGAATATTTTCTGTTATAGAAAAGTATCTGTATCTTGTTTAACTCTGTCTCTCTGTCACCAATGGTTTGTTCCCACAGGACCTGCCATCCACCATCCAGCCCAAGGGTCGACAGGTGAATACAAGTCGTCTCCTCCCTCACCTGCAGTCACTCGCTCCTCGTACTTGTATCCCTTCCCTTTCTATAGACGTGTCTGTCTCGGTTTCTCTCTGACCCTCTTTTCTGCTTCACAAGGCTCCTCACTTGTCAGACTGGCACTCGGGATGTGAATGGCTTTTTTACAAATAATAAAGAACAAATATTGGGTTTTGGGCCCACTGCAAATCCACTAAAGTGGAATTCATTTACACCAGAACAGGCTGCAGCTGTTCAGCTTCCATCAGACCAGACAGAATGCACCTGGATTCATTACACTGAGTTTTGGGAGATGATGTTTTATTGATTTGGAGGCTGTTAGTCTTCACTTCATCTAGCCAGTTGGTAAAGGAAGGCAGAGATGCAGACAAGTTGTGTCACCCACAGTGTACACGTCTCCTCTAACACACACACACAGAGTAACGACACTGCAGTGGTCGCTGAGTGACAGTGCCACTTCTTCTCCAGTCCAGCATTTTGTACCCAACCTGTAACAGACTCATGGGATTATGGATGTGCACATCAGTTCATTTTGCAGAAAGACCTGATCTGAGAGCCGAGCACAGTCAGGACCAGTATTTCCAGCTAGGCTGCTTCCTGCCTAGATTTGGCAACTTCAGTAGCTTTCCCCCCCAAAACACAAACAAATCTAGTGACTCCATCTTCAAGTTGCTTTGGACCAACAGCCAAAGATGTTTTATTTACAATGATATGAGACAACAGAGAACATTTGGAGCCACATTGACTGGATATGATCTGGATCAGGTCTCGGTTTCTAGGAACTGAGTGGTCCCTCATACTGAGTGACTCGGTATGAAGGGCCACTGTGGTGTCATCAGCTTCACCTAAACTGTGTGGATGGTAATAATGGCACAGGCATTGTCCCCCCACCCCAACAACTGCCCCCCAGTCCCACATGCATTCATCCTGCTGCAGTAACACAGGGACAGATGGCAGTGAGAACAGGAGTTATGAGCAGCCTCAGCCTCAGGGAAACCTCCTCCCATCACTGCAGCATTGTGTGTGTGCACTTTCATTAAACACAGCCTGCAGCAGTTTCCTCCTATAAGCCAACATTTCTCCCCGTCTCTCATACTGTTGTCAGGACGCTGGCCTGATAGGGTCATGTGACTGATCCTTCCAGCAGAGGGCAGTGTCCACAAGCTTCCTGCTCACATGTCTCACAGTTCATTATATGTTGATGGGAACCAGATATTAAAAATGAGGGTAAACAGTTGCACCTCATTCTTGTCATGTCTCACTGCCATCAAGCCCCCAACCTCTCTCCACCCCCATCCCCACCATACTGCTGTTCAGACTGTGCATAGCCGTTTTGCTGCATGATGTGTGTGATGCTTTCAAATCCTAGATTGTATCCAGACCTCCGATCAGGGACAAACTGTCTGTTAAGGTAAGAGACAATTAAACCCTTACTACTCGTACGGTTTTGTCCCAGACACGAGATCACTCTCACATTTAGTGTAGATGTAAAAAAGCGCCCAGCGACTGTGTGGTTAAGGCGGGATAATGACTGCATCAACAATGCCTGTGCTGTTCATTATCAGTGTGCTGTGCAGCTCATTAGTAGCCCAGCAGTGTTTGGGTTTAAGTCACTGGAGAAAGGCCCTCCATGGAAACCGGTTTCTGACCTGACAACCAAAACACCCCCATGGTCTCGGCCCTCCTGACGGTCCAGTGCTTTGTAATACAGTCCTCATACAAACTACACCATGTAGCCTTTTTCCTCTTCCTTTCCACATCTCTGTCTCTTCCATCACGTGCATCATCCCATCCTTTCACCACCACCCCAGCCCGTCCACTCAGTCAGCTCACCCCTGTCACTTCTGTGCTTTTGACCTTTCCCCACAGATCTACGTGAGAGCCCAGTTTGAATACGACCCCTCCAAAGATGAACTCATCCCCTGCAAGGAGGCAGGCATCCCTTTCCGAGTGGGCGACATCATCCAGATCATCTCAAAGGACGACCACAACTGGTGGCAGGGCAAGCTGGAAAACATAAAAAATGGCACCGCAGGCCTCATCCCGTCACCAGAGCTGCAGGAGTGGTGAGAGGGGAAGACAACGAGACAGGCATAAAGACACCCGCACTCGAGTTATAAAACAGAAACCACTTATGTTTGTAGGTCTGTATTTGTATCAGCACAGAGGAGCTCAGAGACCACACTGCTGCTGTTTATATCCAGTACTGTGCAGACAACTTGGCCCACCATCCGTTTTGTAGTTTTAGCAGGTTGTAATGATGACTTAGATTTATTTCTCAGGCTCTTTATTAAGATGTAACTAGAAAATACAGGACATTAAAAAACAAACTGGGTTCTCCAGTCCAAAGCCAGTGTTCAGTGACCTTTGCACTGAGCACAGCTTGTTTTGGGGTGAGGTGATGGTCTTGAAGCGTTGAAGCCATGGCAGAGCCTCCACCATGTTTCACTGAAGGCCGTTACACTCGTCCACCTCTCTCCAACTCTCTGTCTAACATACTGTCCACGACTGGACCCAGGCATTTCAAACGTCCATTCATCGCTCCATATTCCTCTTTTCTACTGATCTTCACTCTGTTTTTTGCGAACTTTTGTGTATCTCAGCCCTTTCTCCCGGCCCCACTTCTGAAAAACTGGTTTCTTGGCTGCCGTCGTTTCACAAAGGCCATTGAGCTTCTTCAGACTGTGGAAGGATCCACTTGGCATCTAGATGTAGCTGCCAGATACCAAGCCAGGTCCCTACTGGGTTTCCTCTGGCCTCTCAGGACAGAAACTCTGTGAAACTTCTCATCAGATTTTGTTTTCTTGGTCTTCCACTCACTCCCGTTTCTCAGTTCTTCAGAATTCTTTAGGACAGCTTGATCTTGAGTATCCAGTTTGTTTGTTGATTTTTCTTTTCTGACATTTTTGTGTTTTCCATACTTTCACTTGTTTCTTTATGCCAAAGTACTGCCATGTGGACAGAGGGGTACTTTTTGCTGACAGCCCCCCCACATGCCATTGTCCATCGCTATGTTTTACTGTAGACATCACCTATCTTTATTTTGCACAGTACTGTACATGAGATTTCTATTGGAGTGTAGTGATACCTGTACGTGGGAGGCCACAGCAGCAGCACTGTCCAGTAAAAATGTAGATAACTGTACTTCACCTCCAAAACCCAGTGCATCATATATCAACTGTTATCACTGACCCACCACTGTCACCCAGTTGAAGGCGCGTCATAGCACACATTTCAGAGTTGACACTGTTGGGTTAACAGACACACGTTTGATATCTAAATGTGGTTAGTTGCCCACTGAAGACCTACTAAGGTGATGTCATAATGCTCCAAGAATAAAAATGAGGATGCTCTGAGCTACTGGTTGGCACCGAATGGATTCCGGGACACTTGGCTACCCCAGGTCCATTCACTTGTACAGATCCAGTGCCCAGAGTATCCTGGTAACCCAGAAGGAGCAGGAACATTTCACCACAGACTGACAGGGGTCTTCTGTTTGTGCCTTTGTGGCAGGCGGGTGGCATGTATAGCCATGGAGAAGACCAAGCAGGAGCAGCAGGCCAGCTGTACCTGGTTTGGCAAGAAGAAGAAGCAGTACAAAGACAAGTATTTGGCAAAGCACAACGCAGGTACACTGTACACACACACAATGGAACAACCACATGCATGTGCACACAAAACAACATGCTGCAGACATGTCCCGTCACTTCCTGAATGCATGCAGATATGCAATTTACCTGAGAGTGTGTGTGTTTGGGTATGTAGGTAAAATATGTGTAACAGGACCTCATAGTGATGATATCCAGTAGTCGCGACCAGGAATGACAGGACAAGCTGCCAGCGGAGCAGAAACCTGACACTAGCACATGGCCGATGTGTGGGCACTGATACAGACACTAGGGTTGAGACGACACAGCTCTGCAGTTTCAGGTGCAGGCTGAAGTAACGCGCTTCCATTAGAGGATGTGAATGTGTGTAGCAAAGTATATGACAGTGAAGAAGAAGTGTAAGCAGCAGATATATTTAGCTGTATCGGACACGAAGGGGGCACATGCTATGGATGTACTGCTCAAATATCACCGGCATGTGTCCGGCTGTGTGAGCAGGCCGAGGTGTTGTGGGGTAGAACTCGAGCGTGCAAACACAGGAGGTCGGGGGAGGGGCTGGTGCTGGGAGAAGCCTTTATTTGCTGGTAGATTTGAACCCAGTAGATGTAGTGTGTCAGCCTTTGTTAGGTTACTGTGTGGTGCTTTCTGATCTGCCGATTGGCTGCCTTTACATTGTCTGACTAATGAATTAGTTCCTGACTCAAACTGTATTTTGAAGGAGCAGCAGGTGTGAGACAGCAGAGACACGATGTGGAACCTTTGATAAGTGCTGGAAAGTAACTCAGTACATTTACTCAAGTACTGTACATAAGTACACATTTGAGGAGGTCAACGGACAGTGTGTATTTGTGTGTGTGTGCGTGTGCATGTGTGCCCGGCTGCCTTCTGTAGCATGCAACACAACACGACAGTCACGTAGTCAGAAGAGTATGAAGCCGTGGGCAGTGAATCATGACAGAAGTGGTCGGTGCTGTGACTCCACCCATTTATGTTGTCACTTCACATTCATACATTAGTCCACAGACAGTTCATGTTCAAATCTGCTCCCATTCAGCATCAACCTGTACTAACCAGGGTTGAACGCAGGGCACTGGGATACAGCTGTTTCCTGGGAAATCTCAACAAACCTATTTCCTTCTCTTTGTCTGGATTTTTGTGCATGTCTGAAGAAGAAGCCTCTTCAGTGCTACCACAGTGCACAGACAGCAGCAGTCGTACAGAACCAGCTGCTCCCTGTGCACTTTATGAGGACTATGTTACCACAGAATCCAACGCTAGTCATTTATCTGCTGTTTAAAGTCAAAGGATTTATGATGTATATAGTTTTATACTCGTGTAAAATGATGATTTTCAAAGCCCATGAATGAGTTCAACCCTGAGTGAGGCTCTGTTCTGTTGCTGCTGCATGCTGTTTTCTCACACTGTGGCATGTTACCTCCAGCAGCAACACGTGGTCAGTGCATTTCCATCCCAACTGTTGGCACTGCAGTGCTGCACAGCTGCTGTTTGTGTTTTGTAATTCTACTGTTATAACAAGCCACGTTATGTCCCCCCCCTGTTCATCTCTCTGGCTTTCTCCTACTCAACGACGTCTCTGCATGTAAGTAACAACCAGTGACGGCGACCAGCTCCTCCTTTCTCTTCTTCTGTTTGTCTGAACCCAGTAGCTGAGCTCAGCTGTCACTGCAGGCATTTCACTTTTGGTTCCATTGGTAGAAACACCAGCAACTGAGACAAAACTGAAACTGTGCAGTGTGGTGTGTATGCTGTGCCGTTCATCCCAGCCCATTGTTTGATCCACGTTTGGTCACGTGCTCAGGACGCACACAGACAATGTCAACCACACACTGAATATGCTGTAACTAACAGCTATTCACGGTCAGTCTGAGCAGCAGCAGGTCTGCACAGGGAACCCAGAGCTGGGCTGGAGGCTCAGTCTGACGACACTCTGCTCCAACAGGTGACTGTGCAGCACAGACACCAGCTGACCTGTAACCTCCCACCTTCACTCTGGTGTGTTGGTCTCAGCCCAGACAGGAGGACAGTTTGTGTGTGTCACGCTGAGGTTCACCTGTACGTTTTGTTCCTGTAGTGAATTTGGGATAAGAGTCCTAATGTGCACACAGGTGTTCAAAGCTTTCCCAGAGTAGGATTTATTTGGAAGAAGTGGTTGCATCATCCTTGAGAAACATCGAAGTGAACAATAGCTTCGGTTATTTTTCTATCACAGTGTCTGATTCCAGCCTTTCTAATGTGATGTGTGTCTGTCACTTGCTGGCATTTTCCATCATCTGACATTTTATAGGAACAGCAGTCAAGAAACTGACAGTTTAATTGTTGGTTGCAGCAAATTGTATCTGAGAGTCTAAGAAATTCTTTAAAAGTGTCTCTGTTTGCTACCTGTCTGTTTCATCTCACCACATCTGGAGCTGCAACTAACAATGTCTGTCATTACTGATTGTTTACTGTTGGTTAGGAAATCCTAATTTCCCAAAGCTCGAGCTGGAATGTTCAAACTGCTTGAGTCCAAACTAAAAATGTGAAATGTGACACCAGCTGGAGCCATCTGTCACAATCAGTGTGTGTCAGATTTGATGCCAATTGATTTTCAGTCAGCTGAACGATCAGTGAATTGACTGCTGGTTCCAGCATGTTTATTCAGCAGTCGTCCATCTTCTGACCCAGGACGCTTGTCCTCAGTCCGGTCTAGCTCCTGGTTCATACTGGTAGGCAGCAGTTGTTGTTACCACACAATGAAGACAGTGACACCAGTGAGGTGAGCTCTCCTGTCGACTTGCTGGGCACAGCGATGGTCCTGAGGCTGTATCAGCTGCTCTCCTGCACCCTGTCTGCTCAGGTTGACTTCATCTCACAGCACAGAGGCTTTTTTCAAGGACAGATCCAGTTTCATCACTTCACAGATCACCTCAACCCTTTGTCCATTTCCACTCACTGTTTCAGCATTAGATGTAGAAATTGCTGTGTTTTAACAGCTTCCTCTTGTGTTCACCAGTTCCCTGTCTGTTGTCTGTCAGCGTGCTCCTCTCCACGTCACTCAGTCTCTGTCTCTCCCCGTCTCTCCTCCAGTGTTCGACCAACTAGATCTCGTCACATATGAAGAGGTTGTGAAGCTTCCTGCTTTCAAGAGGAAAACACTAGTTTTGTTAGGTGAGCAACAAACACATTTTATCGAATCAGAATCAAATCGGAATCCTTTCACCGTTTGAAAGTGACTAAAGTCAAACGAGTCCAGCTGAAACACTTGGTTCAGATCTGTGATCAGCTGTGGTTCCCATGGTTCTTACTGGTTTATGTGACTCTCTGAGAGAACAGCTGAAATATATTTCAACTTTGTCATTCAAGCTATTCAGCACATACGTAGACAGCAGCACAAAATTACTTTGCATTAGCGTCCACAAATTAAGCAACACCTATAAACTGTGTTAAAAATAAATAGTTACCCTGCAAATGAATAAAAAGCAGAACACTGTATAATATGAGAGAACGAAAGGCATTAATGTGCTGTGATCAGCTGATCACTGCTCTAGAGAAGTGCCTCCACTCTGGTGGTCAACAGTTTTTGGCAGAGTCCAGTTCGTAGCTGGACGGAGCACATGGACACCAGACGGAGGCTCACTGCAGCGGTCACTCAGTTAGCATTGGTTGGCTACAGCTGGTATCATCTCCCGCCGCTGATGTCACTCCCTTAACCAAGGAAAACAATGGTCAGAGCTGACTCACTGCATGTCCACAACAGTGGTCTCTGCTAATAGAAACTAAACGGAGAGATCGAAGGTTCACTGACAGATCTGCCTTCATGACCCTGACTGTTTTTGTCTTTGTCAGGTGCTCATGGCGTGGGCAGACGACACATCAAGAACACTCTCATAACCAAACACCCTGACAGATTTGCCTACCCCATCCCACGTAAGACACACACCCAGAGTCCTCCACAGAGAGGCACATGTACACCACCGCTGCTCACATCAGCCTCTGTCTCTTTGTCCCACAGACACAACCAGACCTCCAAAGAAGGACGAGGAGAATGGGAAGAACTACTACTTTGTTTCCCATGACCAGATGATGCAGGACATCAGCAACAATGAGTACCTGGAGTACGGCAGCCACGAGGACGCCATGTATGGGACAAGGCTGGAGACCATTCGCAAGATTCACCAGCAGGGGCTTGTGGCTATATTGGACGTTGAGCCTCAGGTGTGTGTTGGTGTGAATGTGCTTGTGTTTATATTTAGACTGAATCTAACACTAGTTCTCAATCAGGCCCTGAAGGTCCTGCGAACAGCGGAGTTCGCCCCATATGTCGTCTTTATTGCCGCACCGACGATCACACCAGGCATCAGTGAGGTAGGACTACACCTCACACACACACACACACACACACACACACACACACACAAAGATGGTGCATTTGAAAAGACAAGGCTGGTGGTGTTCTCACTATGAACAAAGCCCTATGAAAAGCCCAAAAGCAACAGTTAATGTATCCTGATAGAGACTCCACAGCCTGAGGAGTCCAGAAACTACAGACCACTAGGGGTGTGACTCTTTGGCAAACTCACGATTCAACTCAGTTCAGAACAGTTTGATTCAAACATGATTCAATAAAAAAGGCACTACATTTTGGCTCTTATTCTAGTTGACTGTGTGTCAGATGGCTTGGCTCACGAGGTAGAGCGGGTCGTCTCCTAACCTGAAAATTAGCAGTTCAGTCCCCGGCTTGTCCAGTCAAAGTGTCTTTGACCAAGACACTGAACCCCCAGTCACTCTCGGTGATGTCACCGGTTCATGAATGGCCAAATAGTGTGAAAGTGCTTTGAGTGTGCTTGCCATGCATAGAAAAGCACTGTACATGTACAAGACCATTTACCATCTCCAGCTGATTTTTGTCCTGTGCCTACTGAGCTGCTAATGAAGCTAACTGGTTCTGATGAGCATCAAAACCAAGTACTTTACATACAGCTACCCAGAAGTATGTAAAGTATATAAGATTCTTAAAATTAGCTCCCCCTTTACCAGCTGTGATTAACACAGCGATTAATCAATAATTAAAATTCAATAATATTCCAATCTGCAAAATATGTACTTTTACTTTTGGTACTTTAGGTTTGATTTTTAAGTAATATTTTGAATGCGGGCAGTGGTTGAAGGCAAGGGCCCTGACAACCTGATCTCTGGACACAGAGACTAGCCCTGGGGACATGGAATGTCACCTTGCTGGTGGGGAAGGAGCCC